ATTTTTTAATAATTAATTTTCAATTAAAATAATTCATTTTGATGGATTCATTATAGTTATAATAATGTTTATTGCAACAGTTAAAAAACAACATATACTGAAATAAAAAGAACAAAATATATATATATAGTTTCAAAAAAGTTATCTGATATAAAAAGATTCACAATAATTATGTTAGAAAATCAGTAATTCAAACATAAAAATAAAAAACAAAATTTCAGTTTAAAAGTATCAGCGTTTTCTAAACTGTGAGGCACCTCCATAGGGAGTGGCCAGTGAGCAATTTTCCAAATGACTGCTAAAGTTTTATCTATTTTATGAATTTGATGGGGGAAGGGCAGGCGGCAAATGATTAAATATTTTTAAGGGAGGCGTAGTAACATGAAGTTTGGAAACCACTGTTTTAGATAGATATTAAATCCGGAATCACTATAACACGATTCGAAAATTACAAAAGAAACTAAATTTTGGCATTCAGCAAAATAATAATTTTCCTTATAGTCTGTTAATTTTTATGTGGTTATAAACTCATCATCAGTCCGGTTTCAAAAAATTACTATGCTGGTTATTGCTGGTTCCTCGATTAGTTCGGTTTCATACAGTCCGGTATATTGTCAAAACCGACTACCCGCACTCTGTGAGGTAGTGTTTTATAAAGACACAATTAACACTTTCCTTGATAAGATAATTTACTGATGTTTTTTATTAAGTAATAATAAAAATTGGAAACAATGAAAATAAAAAATGCAATATTACTATATAAAATCAATGAATTTATGTAAAAACTATTATTTTCGCTGCAGATTTTTTATGCGAGGAAGGTTATTTGGTGTCAAGAGGCATATACATTCTCAAAGCAAAGACTTTGTGGCCTTAATAACACTAGAAAATCAATGATCAAGTATTCATAAGCAGTCTTTTTATAGCCAAATTGCATTTTCTTTTCAATACCTCCACCTCATGTAACTATTATTTGTTCAGTGTTTATGAGCAGCTTTTTATATATTCTCATCATATATTTAATATTAATAGAAACTATTCGCATATAATATAATAATAGTTGCAATTATTTATATCAATTTTATTTCATACATTTTGATCTACATAATAAAATAATATAATCATATTTTTATCGTACATAAAGAGCTATAGTCAGTAGCATTTTGCAGTATTGAATCTTTTTTGCTTCATTACTATTAGTGTTGTGTAATAAGGATTATAATTATTAATATTTGTAGATATAAATAAAATCAGTATTATATAATATAATCTTTTAAATTAGTCAGAATAATACTTTTATCATCGATTATTTAATCTTGGTCAGAAATCTTGTAGGACAATGATTTGTGCTGTAAATGCCTTTTATGAAAACTTTATATGAATATGAATGAATGAATTTTTATTATTTATTTCTTTAATATTACTTTTATTATTGATTATGTAATCTTGGGCAGAAATATATTTATCGATATTTTTCTTTATTTGTTCTAACTTTATTTTTGTGTTATTCATTATATTTCAATAAAATATAATTTATTTAATTCACGCGTTAAAATTTTTTTTTTTTTACTGTTCATGCATTAATTTTAATACAATATATATTTTTAATTATGTTTCCATTTCACTGTACAATCATTTTCTTCATTAAACCTACAGTCCTTGAATATAATATTAATATATTCGTATAACAGAATTAATTTTAAAATATACGAATTTTATATTTGTTTTAAGCAATTTTCTTGTTTTTTTTTTCTTTACATTTCCTTAAATAACAATTTTTTTTTTTAATTGAATTTGCCTTCAAATATAAGATTTTAAATTTACTTTATCTTAAGTGTTTATCATCTTTTCACTTTATTTTTATTATAATTTGTCTTCCTTGTTTATTTTTTTGCAATTCTTATAAAAAGACATACGTATGAAACCATTATATTTTTTTAATATTACTTATGGTAAAATTTCTTTTAACAATTTACATGAATAATTACAGACGAAAATATTTTAAATAAATAAACACATGATTTACTATAAGTCCTTCCGTTTAAATGTTTATTATTTTTCATATTAATTTTAATAATTAATTGAAAAATATTAGAATTTAATTTGAAACAATTGTAATAAATATTTTGATTTATATAGTGAATCAACTTGACATATACTTTGGTCTTTTAATTCAATTGATTCTCCTTTTATATTAAATCGAAATCGCCAAAGGTTCCTCAAACTGAAGTATATTATTGTAATGCAGTTTAACATCAAACTGATGTTGAAATGTATGTGTGGTATAGTCGCCGCTTTTCACGCAACAGAAGTTATGGTAATAGCACTTTGGTCCGGTATAAACAAATATTATTACTGCTATTAATGCCTAAACGAAACTAGAAATTTGCAGTTCCAGTTAAACTAATAACGAGTCAAGGATGTAAGCGATATCCTTCGGTTAATGTTATTTTAGGGCCGTTTGCGTTTCTGATTTCACGGGTCCTCCGACGTGCGGCCTTTCACTTAACCCTCATCAAAGGGCTAATTAATGGTACAATTTAAATTTGCCTAAACCGCAATACGCAACTCCTTTGTCGCGCCATCCATTCCTAATAATAATGTTCACTATTCGCATCGAATAGTTTATTTGCTTTCCCTCCGCCCTATTCGCAGTCTGTTCTTTAAATTTATTATGTGAGAAGTTCGAATTGGGCGCCACTTCTCCAAGTTCTAATTACACGGATTAAATTGATGCAGCAATTATAGATGGATTCCGGAGCGAGAACTTCGGGAATCGCGTCAATAATTTACGGATCATCAAAAACTAAGCTTCCAAAATGGGTGATTAGTTCAGGAGCTGTGTTAATGGTTGTTATATTCTTGAGTGCAATCCAAAAGATTTGTGGGTTCATACTTGGATTTGTTTTATTTATTTGACTTTTGAAGAATGTATCAACGGTTTTTTTTTCCTAAAATAATATTTTGGAACTGCAGAAATATACCTAAATAAAAAATTTCTCAATATTGTTATTATATAAATACAAAATTCCCTGAAATACAAAATACTTTTTCATTGGTTCACGTAACTACATAACTATTTTTATATATTAATTGTAATTTAATAAATACGTTTTTTTCTTAAATTTAAAAACCGGTTTTATAATTTCATAAACAAAACAAAAACTAATTTTGAACCGGTTTTTTAAAATTAAAAAACTTTAGTTTGTACTTTTTGGGTTTTTATTGAAAATCGTGTTATGATATTATTTATAGCATTAAATAACTACAAAATTGGGTAATATAGAAACTATTCCTTCATTGTTTACTGAACATGTAAACAATACATTTTCTGGAAATATTGAAATTCTCTTCAAGTTTTCTATTACTATTACTATTTTTTTACATATAAATTGTAGGTTTTAAAAAACTATTTATTAAACCGATTTTTTAAAATCAAGATACTTTAAGTTGTACATTTCAGTTGTCTCAAAAATCTCTGTTATTTATTTGATTTAATAAATACACAATTTTCTGAAATAGAAAATAGTTCTTGGTTACAGAACTTGAAAACGTTAAAATTTCAAGAAATATTGAAATACTTTCAAATAATTTTCTAATAAAATGGATATAAATTGATTGAACTATTTTTTACATTTAAATTGAAGTTTAATAAACTTTTATTGAAAACGATCAAATTACAGGAAATATTGAAATACTCTTCAAAGAGTTTTCTAATAAAATGATAACGATTTTAATGAACTAAATTAATATATATTACATAAACATTGTATTTTTATAAAAACGAGTTTTTCTTAAATTTTAAAACAAGTTTTTTGATTTCATAAATTTATTAAAGAAAACTATTTTTTAAGCCGGTGCTTTTTGGTTGTTTTTTGAAAATCATGTTATTGTTTATAGTATTAAATAATTACAAAATTGGGTGAAATATTAAATATTCCTTCATTGGTTATTAAACATGTAAATAACAAAATTTCAAGAAATATTAAATACTCATGAAAGACTTTTCTAGTTAAAATGATAACAATTTTCAATAACATTTTTTGAAATTTCAAAATCGGTTTTTGATATTTTTTTATATAAAAATATTAAACTACTTTATTTTATACTTTTCAGTTGTTTTTTGAAAGTTAATTGAAAGTGCAATGATTGCGTGGAATGAGGAAATTGCTTATTACCTTTGCTCTTGCCCTTCATTTCGAAGATATCCTTGGCACAAGCGTGGGCGACGCACAGTAAAACAACAACAGCACAATAGTTCATTGTAGACATGTTTCCTGGCTTCCGGTTGATCGAGGAATTCGGTATTTGCGATGTATTTCCGCGATTGTTCGCGCGATATTCTTCGTGTTAGCGATGTTGTGTAAATGCGGCGCGTCCAGCGGATGGATGGCATCTCTTGCGGGGCAGAAGGAAAGCATGCGCGTATATCGCGCCGTCGGATCTTCGTGGATCCTCTGGCTCTCCCTTCCTTCCTTTCTCGGTGCACGGTTCGCCGCCCCCGCGCCCTCGGCCAAGTGCCCGCTCGTTATGCGATATTTATTTGGAGCCCTTTTCTTGGCGATATCGCCTGCAGCCGCCCTTGGTTAACCGTTTTCTCTCTCTCTTGGCATTTCCGTGCAGAGGAAGAGACTGATGGTGGCCGATTCCACGGTTTGCCGACCACCGGACCATCGATCCAACCATCGTACCGCAGATATTTTATTTCAATAGATTACGCCCAGGTAATTCGCACACAATCCCGAAACCGCATAATTTATCTACCTATTCTGCACTGCAGGATGTCCGGTCAAAAAAAAAGGACAGCCAATTCCACCTAACCACGTTCTACATTTATATAGATACTCATTCATCCAACCCCAACTTTCAATTAACTGTAAGTTAGTGTAATTTCAATAAATATACACCAAATAATGCAGGTAATCGATTATTAGACTATCTATCTTAAACCAAATTGATTGATAAACAAAAGAAGGCAAAAATAATCATTTTGTTTTTAATTTTCTCGATTAAAATATAGTTTATTTTTATCCGGTCTAATTGAAAACAATATTCTCGTGTCCCAGGGATGGATTTCTGGACACAATCGAATACTGTCTGGTGTTGTTGTGGAGTCTCAGTTGAATTAAATAATTCAATTGGTTTTAAGGAATATTATTATAATAATTGGTACTTTTCTGATTCTGTTCAAGATAATGTAGATACTTTAAAAGATTGACGACATTCTTCTGTTGTTATAGGATTTGCTGAGACTATGATCGTCTTAGGTTTTTATGAGACTAATTCTAAATACAAATTACAAAGTTAATTCTTATTAATACGGGGTGGGAGTTGTGATTGGGAGTAGGGCTTGTATATATTGATGATTAAGCATTCCCATGGGATTGGGCCTTGGTGGTTTTGTTTATTATAAGACTGGGACAAAATCCTATGCATTTGTTTATATGAAAAAGATGATTAATTACGATTATACGTGTAATGATTATTATGTGTTTATAATAAGGACTTGAATTCGAAGTAATGGTGTAGAGAATGTTTATGCTTGGTCCCCTTTGTTTATTAAGTGTCGAATCGGGAATATGTTGGAGATTCCTCTATGCTGATGTATATGTTTATATAATAATGCGACTAAGAGATACCGTGGATGTCTCTAGTTCGTATATTAATAATAACAATATTTTTACTTGAAACTTTACTTGGCTTCACTGCAGTATAGTCTGAACAATGTAAGACTCCATATAAGTCACTAAAATATACCTTCTGAAATAGCATTATTAAAAGAATAATATATAATTATTTAATGAAATTTAATTGAAACTTATGAGAAACTAAAGTTTTTTCTTTCTCAATCGTTTAAATAAAATTTAAAAAAATAATTATTATATTTAATATATTTAGAATCAAAGGGCTAAAAACTACTAATTAACTGAAGAAGTTTGTTCTAAATGTATTGATTTCTGTTAAATAAAAATATTAATTATTTAATAATAAATATTAAATTTTAAAACAAAGTAACTAGAAACCACGAATTAAATATCGACATGTTGCATGGATAATCATATTTTACTTTGATTTGAAGTTATGTGTAACTAGTGTAACTAGTTCATAGAATATATTTATTTATTATATTAATATTTTTCAACAAGACATTTTTGATTGTACAAGTGTTAATTTTCAGATACTTTATTATTACACTAAGCAATGTTTTTTTTTTAATTTTAATAAATTTATTTCTTTTAAAATATGTGCCTTAAAGCTAAATCTAAATTATGTTTTCGTCTTTGTCTATATAAACAGAAAATATGATGTAAATCGTTAAAGTACAGTTAAACATAAATTAACTTTGATTTACTTGATATAAATTGTACGGATTTATAAAGTAGTATCATACTTTTAAATTATTGACTTGTTTTCTGGTCAACTTTCTATTTGCTAATGGCGAATAAATATTGTTTTCCCTCATAGTAATAATAAGATATTTATAAACTTATATTCACTCTAAATTAAACTATTGTTTTCAGTAAAATATGTCTATATAATTACATATTTAATGGACAAAACATATTACATATTTTATTCTAATTTTGACGAATTTTTAATTAATTTCACTGGAAATATAAAAAATCTTAACAGGAAATCAATTAAAATAATAATAACATGTTTGAAGAATTTGACACTTAGAATTTGACATTAGACATTTAGTTTCAAAATATTACCAAAATTAAAGTAATACTTTTAAAGATTTCTAAAATTTTGGATCCCCAATAGGATAACTTTGCTGATAATTTGATACGTGAAATGTACGACGATTATATAAGCATGGTTTCGGTTTACGAACAAATTTGTTTTTCAGCATTCACAAACTAATTATGTTCGACAACTCTCATATAATGTAGAAATGAATTATGTTTATAACGGCAAATAAATACATATGTTTATTTATCTGTAGAAATAATATCTACATATTTTCTATCTATATGCTAATATTGTAATTATTGCAATAAATAAGTTCGGTTTCAAAATAAATTAATTACTGTATTGAAGATTGTGTTATTAATATCACGATATTAATAACGTGATTTTGTTGCAGAACACCGCGAATGCACACGTATCCATTTAGGAAATTGCCTTTGCTCCTCTCTCTACACGTTGGACGCATCACAAGATTGATTCAGCCATTTACCCCAAAAACTAAATACCGCCAAAACTCCTCAATTAACTAAGATTATTAACTTAATTTAATTAGTTTTTTTTCTACAAATTTCTCAGAAATACGTATTACACAGAATAATTATAAATGCTATCCTATAAATGTTATTTACATTAAATGTTATCTGAATAAGTCAAGTCTCTTTTTGGGCTTTTTACTTTTTGCAGCTTTCAAGTCCTCGATTAATATGGTTTCAAATAGTATTAATCCGCACTATACGAGGTGTTGCTGTCCAGTGGTTAATAGGTTAATAAATATTTTGGACTATGAACAAATAAAAAAGAATATATATTTTTGATGTTTTGATAACAAACACATATTCGAATAACGAACAGATTTGTACAATTGCATTTTACTACCATTCTCATTGAAGAACTATGACAAATCGATGATCGAGTATAGAACATTCTTTATTGTACAATTCCGATTCCTAGACTATTTCAAACCGAACTAATGGAGAAACAAAAGGAGGCAAAAAAAAACAATCATTTATGTAAATTATATTTTGTACTATTTTTTTTTAATTTTCCAATTAAAATGTAGTTTATGTATGGAATATTCTTCATTGTCTTTGTTCGTTAATCGAAAAGTATTGAAAATAATTGATAAAATCTAAGTTGTTTAATAAAGATTATTTATTTCATATTTTGCGAATTTTTATAAATATATATTGAAAAATAACAATTATTGCGTAATTTTATTGAACATAAATTTGTAATAAAAAATAATATAAATTAAATGTTTCTTGTTTTTCTAAAATCCATTGTTTAGTGACTTAATGCAACTGTTTGTATGATTTGAATATAAATCGACTTGAAAGACCGGCGCGCACCCTTCAAGGACTCTGAACTATTTGATTATAAACTCATTTTTTAGTGAAATTGGTTTGCATACAATTTCCATTTTTTTTTTGTCTGCAGACAATTTTTGAGATGAATTGGACCATTTGCATATTCACATTTATATGTATACATGAAAAACGAAAAGAAGTTATGAACTTGTTGTATTTTCTTGTAAAACAAAAAGCTTGATGATTGTTTCACGTAGTATGTTAGTAGTGCATATAAATAATTCTAGTTGAGAATGAAATAATTTTACACTCGCTCTTGCCTCTCGAGTTTAAATTAATTATTAAATATTTTAACTTTACTATTTTCAAAGTTAATATTTTCTCTGGTGGATGAAAATGGCCGCTGGTCTCATTTTCTGTTCGCATATGAATTTATTTTTAAATACATTCTCTTTCTGAATTTTTACTTTTTCTGTTCTTTTTTTTGCGAATCCTCACAAAGTCCTTTGACTTCCAGCTGCGAATTACAACTTTTAATAACTACAACTGCTCGGAAACCCCGGAATATAGAAATAAACCACATTTATATAGATGTAAGTATAGCAATACCTCGCATAGTCCGGGTAATCAATTCCGTATTTATGACGAACTGTTTGAAACCGGACTAATCGAAAAACTAAACATATAAATATATAGAATGGCTTTAATCACGGTTTGAATATTTCAAAACAAACTAAATTTTAATAGAGCAAAATAATATAAAATTCTAAAAAATATGTATACCCTTGACGTAGACCCCTTGCAGGTTGTCATAGACCTCTGGGGGTCGATATAGACCACTTTGGAAATCACTGGTCTATTCAGTCCAATTCATCTTTTTGTGCTATTTATATTTATGTGTTATTAATGTTCTCGATTAGTCCGGGTAATTAATTCCGTACACCGTAAACATTTAAATATCTTGTATAATGCGGCTCTGATCAGTACGGATTAACTATGAAGACTCCAAAACAAACTAACTTTTTATAGAGCAAAATGAAAATAATTTATCTTATCTCGACTAGTGCGGTTTGAAACAGTGCAATGGAACCGACTACCCGCACTATGCGAGGTATTACTGTACATACCAAAAATTGATGGACAATAAAAATTTAGTATGTTTTTCATATGTTGTATATAAATTGCAAATATTTTCAATCTTTAATCATACAATGTATTATTTCGTTGTTTCGGTGCAAATGGAAAAATAAGGATATTTTAAAATATGGTGTATAATATTGCCGTTGAGATCGAAGAGAAATTGGATTGGAACAACGACCGGATTATTTATGAGTTCATTTTTAACGCTGAAAAGGTATCCCATATCTCCTCGACACTTCTATATAAATGTTAAATACATAATTCTTATCCCAACTTCAAGACATATGTCTTCTTTATTTCTTTGCTTATGCATTTGTTAGATAAAATAATGAAATTGATGAAAATTTCGACAAAACTATAAATCGAATCATACATTTCTAAATCAAAAAAACAGTGTTCCAATTCATGACGTTTTTGCTTTGATGAAGCAAATATTTCATAATATTCTACACGTATTCATAAGCTCACTCAAATATTTAATAAACTTTATTAACAATAATCGACTATATCATGTATATTTCGTATTTAATAAACTACGATTTTGTAAATAAAAGCTTTCATGATAATCATTTGAAAAATGTATTGGACATTAATAAACTTCTGTAATAATCAAACTGTATTTTTTATGATTTTCTTTTTCAGACATTTCTGAAGTTTATTAGAAAATTAATGGAATAATGTAAAGTAAAATCCTTCAATCAATATTATCTGAAAAAATGATATTCATATGGGAAAT